AATGTCAGAATTTTGTTGGAACGGGTGATCGACCATTTCCGAGAAAATTCTGAGAACTTTGTTAAGCTCGTCGGAATCTTGTCGGATACACTGGTTTTAATAATATTTTGTCGGAAACTCATCTGAACTATCTCGAGAACTTTTTGATAAACTCAACCAGAAAAGTCACCAGAACTTTTCCGACGAATTTTCTACAAAATTTTAACGACTTTTATAAATTAATTTTCCATATTACATAATTTTTAAAAATATAGTAAAATTTTGGACGATTTTCCGTGAAAGTATCTTCGTCGCTAAAAAATACCACAGTTTTCCTACAAGTTTTGTGACAAATATCTGAGAAATCTTTCCATCGGAAAATTTCGACTATATTCTGTGAGAATTCCGGCAAATTTCTGAGAAAATGTTTTGTCAAAAAATTCCAAGAAGATTCCAAGATAATTTCTTACAAATTTTCGAAAAAATTATTTTCGTCAAAAATTTTCGAAGAAATTCTGAGAATTTTCTCACTCGTCAGAAATTCATTGGAAGCTCGTCGGGATTTTTCTAACCATATTTTTTGTTGGAAATTTTTGTTGGAAATATATATGTTTTCTTGTAGTGTCACTCCAATCTTGTTACATAAATCTTGAAACCATGCATGGTTGTAATAAAGGTTTGGCATTCGCTGATTCGCATGTAGCGACGCGGCGTAGTGGACAGTGAGAGCCGATGACGAGATCTGATGTGGTTGGAAAATTGATCTTGTGTACCATCGTTTTTAATGGTACCAGGTAAATAGAGGCGGTGGAAACAACAGATGAAGCTAGTTTCCAAAAAAAAATTGAAGGCAAGCTTTTAAAAAACGATAAAGAATATTTATTCTTTATCAAATTAAAAACGGTAGAAGTTTTTATTTATTTTTACAAAGCAACTTTTGGTTTAAGGAAACAAAAAGCATGCAATAAGCTTGAAAAATATAATAAAAGATTTGAGGAAGCAGAAAAGCTTCAACTGGAATTACTCTTGGCTTATTATAGAATCACGATGGCTTAATGAAGAAGAACTATGGCTTAAGGAAACACATTGGTTTAAAGAAGAACAATGGTTTATAGAAGAAGCATGGTGGCTTGTAGAAGCATGATGGCTTAGATTTAGAGGCTTACAATGAACTTAAAAAAAAAAACAATAAATAAATCAAAACAGGAGCAAGCTGATCGGTTCTGATAATGGTATAGAAGCAAACTTTGTATTGGAAAATCGTATATTCCCTCTCATCACATGTTCAATGTACATAATTTTCTTATATACATAGTACGCTAATATAATAACAAGGACTTGAGATAGTGATGACAAACATGATTACATGGATTGAAGAATGTGATTATAGTAATTACATAATATCGTAATTAAGAGTTATATTATTTCATTAAAAGTATATATATATATATGGAATATTCTAATACGAATTATACTTTTATTAGTAAGCAAGAGTATGTTATGTCGACAAAAAGTAAACAAGATTCTAATTGTTGTCAAGATTATTTATATTTCAAAGTAAAACAACATTCTTTTATTTTTCTAAGATTTGCTGGAAAACAGCATTCTCCTATATATACTTCCTGAAGTAATTTATATATTATTCTCGAATATAATAAACATGTATTCAAATTGATATAAAATATAGAAGCACTTCTAAGGGCTTACTCGAGCGAGCTAAAAAATCTTAAACGTATCTTTTTATATAATATTTTTTATACGCGTATGAGAACATGTGTTCTTCCACACTTTTTATTTTCAGTAAACAGATCACTATAATCTCTAGTAAATTATTTATTTAGGTGGTTTGTCGATTTCAAAAAGGAGGTTATTTGATATTTATGTTATAGTTAGTCAACTATATCCTTTGTATTCTCACCATTTGTATATATATATATGTGTTGATATGAAAGAAAAAAATCATATAAAAGTGTCTATGAAAAAACTTATTTTATGTCGCAAGAAAACATGTGAACGTGCATGCTTTCACATATTCCCCCTAAAATAATATATTAAAAGCTTCAGAACCTAATACAGATTAAAAAACTAGTTATGTCATATTAACAGAAACAAAATCTAGGGACACTGAGAATATATAACCTTTTAAGTCAAAACAAATAAGTATAAATTTCAAATTTTTTTTTGTAGGTTCACAAAAAAAATTGCAATCTATGTTTGTTTTGCTTAAAGGGTCACTATACTCTCAATGTCCCTAGATTTTGTTTCTGTTAATATGCTTTAACTATTTTTTTATCTGTATTAGCCTATTAGGTTTTGGAACTTGTAATAACCTATCTTAGGGTTTTATTTACTCATTCATATAATTAATAAAATGAAACCCTAAAGATGGGCGTTTCACTCCAATCTTGTTATTCTATTTTAGGTTTTACCAATTTATCAAATTCACCGAAATTACAACATCAAACAAACATCAAAATTGAAAAACAAACTATTTAAAGAAAACAAAAGAGAAAGTTGTGTACGATAATTGCAGACGACTCTTGTGGAGGCTTTAGATGGGCTCCAGAGCGTTGGTGGCTCTGACGGGGGTTCTGGCATCAGCGTCCATGACCATTAATCAGTAGGCTATCATCACAAAATTGTTGGATCCTTCAAACAAGAATTGTGGAATACATATATATACCTCACAAAAGTTGAACAACTTTGTACAAAGGTAGGTATTTTAGAAAAAAAAAATGCTACAATATTTCTGTAGAAAATGGTTGTTTTATTGAATAAAGAGAATAAAATATGAAAACATACTACTATATTGATAAACCAAAGAGAATTCATAGACTTTTTATATGCAAGAAATGAAAGAAATATTGCACAAAAGATTCGTAACAAATATAGTAGAAAATCAATATTTAATAATCTTTTTTGTTGACCAAAACATTAGAACTTTCTTTTGACTAAATAATTTGAATGAATTTAAAATTTTTATTTTTTGAAATATTTATAAATTATTTTTTCTATTTAAAATATATTTTTCTGTTCAAAAATTATTATGTTTTGTTCAAAGATATATATTATTAAATATTGATTTTCTACTATAACTGTTACGAATCATTTGTAGCAATATATTTCTTTCCTTTGTCGCATATACAAAAAATCTATGAATTTGCTATGGATTATCAGTATAGTAGCAAGTTTTCATTTTATTCCTTCTATTCAATAAATCAACTTTGCTCCATTTTAATTCCTATAAAATAGTAACAACTATTTTTTAAGAATTAAAATAGAGCAAACAGTTGATTTATTGAATAAAATAAAAATCTGCTATTATACTGATAATCCATAGCAAATTCATAGATTTTTTTTTTTGCATTATGAGTTAAAAGAGCAACTGGAGATATGAGTAAAAAAGCATTTGGAAATTGGATTAGATTTTGACAATTTTTTTTTTAAGTTGACATCAACTATTACAGTTTTTAAATCATGTAATGGCCAAAAGAAAGTCATGCTTTGGCAAAAAAAAAAGTAATCTTTACATACAAACACAAATTAGATAGAAAAATAACTATTGATTCACCTTAACAAAATTATCACAATTATATATGATTTTTTTAAAAAAAAGACTAATCCAATTCCAATTGCTTCTTTACTCATTATGCAAAAATAATTTAATACTAGTATTATGATAATAAACTAGTAATGAACAATTATAGTATGATTTTTTTATAAAAGAATGTGAATGCAGGATCTGGTATTTATGAATTTGATATTGGGTTTAAAACTTATATGAAAGTTTCTCTAGAAATGAACAATCAAAAATAAATTAAATTGGATAAAGAAAAAAAAATCTGTTGCAAAGTCAAAACTTTGCGTAAGGATTTGATGATGGAGCCCATTTATTTATCTCTTACAGTAATACTTGTCTGATTTTCTTCTATATATAGCATGTACTCGTCCATTGTAAGATACACCAGAATAAAAATACAAAAATCTCTCTTTCCCTCTTTGGTACACTTCTCTCTATTTTCATTTCAATTAATACGTTCTATTCAAATAACTATGTTAATGTTATTCACATATTATGTTGATATAATATACGATATACGATATAATTAAACACGTTATCAGCACGATCACTCTACCTCTATAATTCATAATTTTTAATTATATAATTATTATAATTGGAGTGCGGCTCTGCCGCTCCATTATTATTTACTGCTTTCATTATTTACTGTTTTTTATCATGGTTGCTTAACGCATCATAATGGACAGTTAAACCGCCTAAATAATTTATTTTATTTTCTATGGATGATTCTGTCACCATATATTTATTTACTTGCACTGTTTAATTATTATGCTTATACGGATGATTTGAATCACCATAATTTATTTATTTATTGTTTTAATATGGATGATTCAGTCACCATACATTTATTTACCATGTTCATATGGATGATTTAAGTCACCATTATTTATTTATTTACTGTTTAATATAGATGATATGGTCACCATATATTTATCTTTAAATTAACATTTTTACTATAATTATAAATAAATTTATACTACCAATGTATACTTATAAATATATAAACTAGTATATTTATTGTTAAATTATCAGTCTGATTTTACCTTATTTTCTTTGCTTTCAACGGTCATTAACAAAATAATTTTTTTTATTTTTAAAATTTTGAAACGGCTACATAACGGCTAATGAACAGTATTATACAATCTATAAATATACTTATCTATCATTCATTTCACTCATATTTCATTCCCCCATCAAATTTCTTTCAAAAAAAAAAAATGGCTCATCCCTTTTTAGTTTTTATAATAGGTTATATACTTGTTGTTTTTTATAGTTTACTATTTGGAGAATTCTCTCCGGAAGAATATGTGATGATTTTTATTTTAGGCATTATGCATTTGTATTCCTTGTAATCTCATTATGTATTCCACCACCTCGCATATTTTAATAAAAATCATTTTTCTAATATAATTATTTCTGTTATTTTATTTTAGAAAATCCAATGACAAACGTTGAGAAGCTCCAATTCCCGGCTTTAGACATCACTAGTGCTAATTACATATCTTGGACCACCAACGTTGAACTTCACCTCGGATCTTTGGGTTTAACAGAAACCATCAAAGAGAAGAATACCTCAACGGCCCAAGAAAAGGCGAAATCGGTGATCTTCTTTAGAAGACACCTAGATGAAAGTATCATCTATGATTACGCACAAATGAGAGATCCCCAAGAGCTTTGGAAGTCTCTTAAGGATCGTTTCGATCATCAAAAGGACATAACACTTCCACTTGCTCGGGATGAGTGGCAAAATCTGAGGTTTCAAGACTTTGACAAAGTGATGAACTACAATTCCGCAGTGTTAGGAATTGTAGCTAAATTAAGGTATTGTGGTGAAACCATTACGGAGTCTCAAATGCTTGAGAAAACATACACCACATTCCATAAAAACCACATCACTCTGCAACAACAATACCGGTTGCGTGGATATACCAAATTTTCGGATTTGATTGTGGCACTCTTGATAGCTGAAAAGAATAACGAGCTCCTTATTAAGGATCACATGACACGACCCACTGGATCTAAAGCGTTTCCTGAAGCGAACGCAGTGGATGTTAAGAATCCAGTTAAAGAGAACAAAGCATTTCGGGGACGTGGCCATCGAAACTACCGCGGACGTGGGAGAAACTACAGCCCTCAGAATAGGAAGTCATTCCAGTGGCCGATTCGTTCTGAACAACCCCCGAAGGGAAAAGAACACCAAGGAAGTACCTCACAGAAGCGAGAGGATACTTGTTTCCGATGCGGTACCAAGGGACATTGGTCTCGTGTGTGTCGTACTCCTGCACATCTATGCACATTGTACAAAGAATCCGCTAAAGGCAAGGGAAACGAAGTCAATCTTGCGGAATATTCTGAGGGTACAACGCACCTCGATGCGTCTGACTTTGCAGATGACTTTGATGAAACCGCCCCCACGGAAGCCTGAAATATCCACCATGTGACTCTTGAAGTTTCAACGAATGTACCATAAATAATTGTCGCTTATGTAAAATATAATGTATAATTAATGTTGTTTGCATTACCTAATTATGTATAATTATCATGTGATATTTTCTTATTAATGTATAATTATTGCATGATATTTGCTTTATGAATAAAAATATTTTATTATTATTAATTATTTTTGTTTATTACAGAAATGGATTACGATACGAACGAAACTTCATCCAAGACATATACTAAAGATATTTATATACCAGATAGTGGAACAACACACACCATTCTGAAACATAGAAGATATTTCTCGGATTTGAGACCGGCAAATATTGTTGTCAACACAATATCAGGTCCTGCAGATCTGATTGAAGGGACTGGTAAAGCTAATTTTTCATTACCTAATGGAACAAAGTTCTCGATAACTCATGCATTATTTTCTCCAAATTCAAAAAGGAATTTGTTGAGTTTTAAAGATATATATCTTCAAGGTTTTGATACTCAGTCTGCAACTGAAAATGGGAAGAAATATATGTACATAACTTCTGAAAAATCGGGAAAAAGGCATGTATTAGTAAAGTTACCAGAACTCCCTTCTGGTTTACATCATACATACATAAATGTGATAGAATCAAACCTTGTGATCAAGAAAGATTCTGAAGATTTCACACTATGGCATGATCGTCTTGGTCATCCAGGCACCACTATGATGCGAAAAATCATAGAACATTCACATGGACATTCATTGAAAATCCAGAAGATTTGTCAAGAAAAAGGAATGACATGTACTTCTCTTGGAAAATTGATCATCAGACCTTCGCCAACAAAAATTGATACAGAGTTACCAAAATTCCTTGAACGGATTCAATGCGACATTTGTGGACCTATACATCCACCATGTGGACCATTCTACTATTTTATGGTAATGATTGACGCGTCAAGTAGATGGTCACATGTTTGTCTATTATCATCTCGAAATGTGGCATTTGCGAGATTTCTAACTCAAATAATCAAACTAAGAGCTCAATTCCCTGATTATTCAATAAAGAGAGTTAGACTAGACAACGCTGGTGAATTTACATCCCAAGCATTTAATGATTATTGTATGGTAACTGGAATCGAGGTTGAACATCTTGTAGCTCATGTTCACACACAAAATGGTTTGGCAGAATCATTAATAAAATGTTTGCAACTTATTGCAAGACCATTGATCATGAGATCAAAACTCCCGACCTCTGTATGGGGACATGCTATTTTGCATGCAGAAGCACTTATTCGGGTAAGGCCAAGTGCATATCATAAATATTCCCCATTACAGTTGGCATTCGGTCGAGAACCAAATATTTCTCATCTAAGAATCTTTGGTTGTGCAGTATATGTACCAATAGCACCACCACAACGCACAAAGATGGGACCACAAAGAAGGTTAGGGATATATGTTGGTTACGATTCTCCATCAATTATACGATACTTAGAACCGCAAACTGGTGACGTCTTTACGGCACGGTTGGCAGATTGTCATTTTGATGAAAAAGTATTCCCGGTTCTTGTGGGAGAAAACAAAAAGATAGAAAGAGATATCAAATGGAGTGTACCATCTCTGTTACACCTTGATCCCCCTTCTAAACATTCAGAACTAGAAATTCGACGAATTATGCATTTACAAAGCATAGCTAATCAACTACCTGATGCATTTGTGGATACCAAAACGGTAACAAAATCACATATACCAGCCGCAAATGTTCCTGCTCGTGTAGAAATACCACAAGAACGCGAAAAAGCAGATGATACACGTGAGTCTAGAACACGTTTGAAGCGTGGTAGACCTCTTGGCTCCAAAGACAAAATCCTAGAAAACGGAAGGAAGTTGAGAAACATTATGATCCTAAAATGATAGAATCTGTTCCAGAAGAAACAAATCATGAATCAGAAAATAATGTCGAACATTATGAATCCGAAGAAAATCATGAGATTTCTATTAACTACATTCATAATGGAAAGATATGGAATCGAAATGACATGGATGAGGTTGATGATGTTTTCTCATACCTTGTATCAAAAGAAATAGAAGAAGAGAATGAAGATCCAGAACCTAAGTCTGTATTAGAATGTCAAAAGAGACATGACTGGATAAAATGTAAAAGTGAGATTCAAGTCGAACTTGATTCACTTAACAAACGAGAAGTATTCGGACCAATTTTACTCACACCAAAATCTGTAAGACCAGTGGGATACAAATGGGTTTTCGTTCGGAAACGAAATGAGAAAAACGAGGTTATGAGATACAAGGCTCGCCTCGTAGCTCAGGGTTTTTCTCAAAGACCTGGGATCGATTATGAGGAAACTTACTCTCCGGTTATGGATGCGATCACATTCAGATTTTTAATGAGTCTAGCGGCTAACGAAAATCTGGAGATGCGTTTTATGGACATCGTTACAGCATACCTATATGGATCATTAGATAATGATATTTATATGAGAATTCTGAAGGATTTAAGATGCCAAAAGCATTAACTTCCAAACCAAAAGAGTTATGTGCAATAAAATTGCAAAGATCATTATATGGATTAAAGCAGTCTGGACGCATGTGGTATAATCGTCTCAGTGAGCATTTAACAAAAGAAGGATATGTGAACAATCCTATATGTCCATGTGTTTTCATCAAGAAAACAATATCCGGATTTGTAATTATTGCGGTATATGTTAATGATCTAAACATTATTGAAACTAAGGAAGAAATACAAATAGCATCAAACTACTTAAAAGGAGAATTTGAGATGAAAGATCTTGGACAGACAAAATATTGTCTCGGTTTACAAATCGAGCATTCCCAAAAAGGTATATTTGTACATCAATCTACATACACAAAAAGAGTGTTAAAACGTTTCAACATGGATAAAGCAAATCCTCTTAGTACTCCTATGGTCGTTAGATCACTTAGTGTTGAAAAAGATCCTTTCCGACCACATGAAGAAAATGAAGACTTACTCGGTCCTGAAGTACCATATTTAAGTGCAATTGGAGCTCTTATGTATCTCGCAAATTGCACTCGACCTGATATATCGTTTGCCATTAACCTTTTGGCTAGATTCAGCTCATCTCCTACACAGAGACATTGGAACGGAATTAAACATGTTTTTCGTTATCTTCAAGGGACAGTTGATTTAGGATTATTTTATCCTAAAAGCTCAGATGGACAAATGATTGGCTTTGCTGATGCAGGGTATCTATCTGATCCTCACAAAGCCCGGTCACAAACTGGATACGTTTTCACAGTTGGGGGAACTGCTATATCATGGCGCTCTCAGAAACAAACGCTTGTGGCCACTTCCTCAAACCATGCTGAAATCATTGCCCTCCACGAGGCAAGTAGAGAAAGTGTATGGCTTAGATCAATGAGCCAGCATATCAAATCAAGTAGTGGACTTTGCGTTAGTACAGAACCGACAATCTTATATGAGGATAATGCTGCATGTGTTGCCCAAACAAAGGAAGGATATATCAAAAGCGACAGGACCAAACATATTCCACCGAAGTTTTTCTCATATACCCAAGAGCTTGAGAAGAATAAGGAAATTGAAGTGAAATATGTTCGATCATCTGACAATGCTGCAGACCTCTTCACAAAGTCATTACCTACTTCGATGTTCCGAAAACATGTCCACAACATTGGGATGCGTCATCAACGAGATCTATAAAACGGTTCTAGTCACTCGAGGGGGAGCATGTGAGATTGTACTCTTTTTACCTTTACTATAGTTTTTCCTACTGGGTTTTCTCTAGAAAGGTTTTTAACGAGGCAACTGAAGATAAACCACAAGAGATAAGAATGACAAATGGACTCCAAGGGGGAGTGTTGCAAAGTCAAAACTTTGCGTAAGGATTTGATGATGGAGCCCATTTACTTATCTCTTACAGTAATACTTGTCTGATTTTCTTTATATATAGTATGTACTCGTCCATTGTAAGATACACCAGAATAAAAATACAAAAATCTCTCTTTCTCTCTTTGGTACACATCTCTCTATTTTCATTTTAATTAATACGTTCTATTCAAATAACTATGTTAATGTTATTCACATATTATGTTGATATAATATACGATATACGATATACGATATATGATATACGATATAATTAAACAAAATCATAATTTTATTGATGAATTTTTAACGATAATACAAGAGTTTTTGCTATAATTTTTAGATGTTAAAAAAGTTTGATCCTTTTATGACGATTCCTCTCTTTATATACTTGTTGTTCCGCATTTTTAACGTTTTTATTCGGTCCAATTTCATTAATTTTGCATGAAGTTTTTCCATTTTGATTATGTTGACTTTAAATTTTTTGAACTCGCCAAGTGATGGGCCTAAAATAAGCCATCAGATGCTATTTTCACTTACGTATTTTACTCGTAGAGGTAATCTATTTTACTAGAAATTACCTATTTTACTAGAAATTGATTTTCTGTAAGAAGGTGGGTTTATTTATAAATGTAATTTTCATGATATATGTTGAGACCAGAGACTAAGATAGAATGTTTTATTTCTTATCTATCATTTGAGGTATTTTATTCGCTAAGAATACTGACAAAACTCACATGAGATATTTTACCTCTATAACCAAGGTAATATTTTTGGTGTTAGAAACCTCAATGTACTTTAAGCATTATAATCTCATGAGTTTTTCTTCTATATTCTTTTTTCATAATTTGGTATAATTTTTGGTGTAGAGGATCCACTATATCTTTTTTCATCACTTCCGATTCGTAGCGACCTCCTCGTTGTATACAAATGTTCCGAACTTTGTTGCCTTACTCGTTTTTTACCGGATCTTAGTCTGGGGGCGAGATCCGACAAATGTTTAATACATCTTATATATAAAACTTGGCCAACTCTCTCCAGTTGAGTGACACATCAGCGCTGGAGAGAGCGCCATCTGTCATCTTCAAACATTAATAAGATAAATAATTAATTATATTTAAAGTAAACA